ATGATCGAAGCAGTTATATTACTGCTCTTAGTTTTGTGAAGATCCCGCCAGGTTATGAGAGGGATTCATGTCATGAAAATATAAATATTCTATGTTTCCAAAAAGTGAAGCACTTCCTATCAAGCAAGGCCACAGTATCTCCAGTATAACAAAAACCACATCAAATGAAGACTTCCAACTGCAGCAACAAGTGAAATGGATAGCACATGTAACTAAAAGAGAAAGTAATGATATAATAAAGACATTTATATTTCATACCACCTTAAACAAAAGGTTTGGAAGGAAACTCTTATACATACTAGAAGGAGCAATAAAAGATACTACATTTGAGAAATCTTGAAAAATTGTTTCAAGAAAAAGATTTAAATTTGAACTCATGGTAATGCAATCTGTTTAGGCAATTAATGCTAAATGTTTACTGGAATGGCTAATTTCACCATTGCCTTTTATAGATAAAACAAACATGTTCATTTCTTTCTGTGATAATGGATAATGTATTGAAAATTGGAGAAACAGTATATATACTTGTATGTATATATAAAAAAGTAATTAATTTTTTATTTATTAAACAGAGGAAGCAATAATTTTATATATATATATATATATATATATATATATATATATATATATATTTATACCAACGGCTTCCCATACTTCTCTAATTCACTCTCACGTGGTCATGAGTGACGTCATGAGCTGCGGTGCGATTTTCGCTTCTAGCATCTTATATGCTCGTGTTTACCGTTGCTTGGAAATCATCTATCTAAACAATAACAGACTATCATCACTGTCTTGTCCGTATATTGCTTAATATGTTGTACAGTAATTGACATCTTTGATAATGGCTTATGTAAGCCAAAAGCTTAGATTAGATTAAAAAAATATGGATCAATATTGTGATTTTCTTTCTTCATTTAGTGATAATGTTATTAAGCTTATCAGACATTATGAAAAGAATTTACATAAAATAAATAGACAACACTTGTCTATATTATTTAATGAAACATGTATGAATGAAAAAATGCTGCCTAAATAAACACAATATATATATATATATATATATATATATATATATAGTCATCTGCAGACATACTATTTTGCTGAATCACAGCTCATCAGTGTGCCTAGATTTGCGATTGCTTCAAGCTGGGACTGAAACCTGACCGAACTGACATTAATCGGAGACTATAGCATCCTGGGTAGGACAATAAACATCTGGCTGCAAAGCCACTGATCAGGATATTCTAAGGTTTGTGGAGCTTGGAAGCACCTCTTAATTGCTGTTGTTCCCAGGCCCACCTGGACTCGGGTGTGGTAATACTTATAGGGTCCCAGTTATCGGCAAGTAGTGTACTCCCCACCCAAAAATCAATATTACATTTTTATAATAAAATGCCCAACAATAGATTTTTATTGCAAAATGACAATCAATGTAACACTATAAAATATAAAAAAATACATTATTATAGTAAAATTACCAACAATACATTTTATGATCTGCAAACTGTATATCTAAAAAAAAAAAAACATACCTTTACAATGTAAGTATAAAAGTATGTGAAAATATTTAGATTTTGGCATTGAGGTTGATATGCTGCTAAAGAATATCAACCAACTTTTATATATATATATATATATATATATATATATATATATATATATATAGAGAGAAAGAAAGCAATGAATTTTTTTTATTTATTTACAAATGTTAATCTTGTTTGTTGTTTGTCCGTACCTGCTTGGTTTTCCTATCAGAGCAAACCCACTTTTTTTTTATTTTTTTTTTTTTTACCTGAGGTTCATACCTTTTTTATATGTTGCAAATTCATTATATATATATATATATATATATATATATATATATATATATATATATATATATATATATGAGAGAGAGAAAGAGAAGCAATGAATTTTTTTTATTTATTTACAAATGTTAATCTTGTTTGTTGTTTGTCCGTACCTGCTTGGGTTTTCCTATCAGAGCAAACCCACTTTTTTTTTCTTTTTTTTTTTTTTAACCTGAGGTTCATACCTTTTATATGTTGCAAATTCATTATATATATATATATATATATATATATATATAAGAGAGAAAGAGAAGCAATGAATTTTTTTTATTTATTTACAAATGTTAATCTTGTTTGTTGTTTGTCCGTACCTGCTTGGTTTTCCTATCAGAGCAAACCCACTTTTTTTTTTTTTTTTTTTTTTTTTAACCTGAGGTTCATACCTTTTTTCATATGTTGCAAATTCATTATATATATATATATATATATATATATATATATATATATATATATATATATATTGTCCGAAAGAAGAAAGCAAACCCATTTTTTTTTTTTTATTTACAAATGTTAATCTTGTTTGTTGTTTGTCCATATATATATATATTGGGTTTTCCTATCAGAGCAAACCCAATTTTTTTTTTTTTTTTTTTTTTTTTTGTCCTGAGGTTCATACCTTTTATATTTTTTTTTAACAAATTCATTATATATATATATATATATATATATATATATATATATATATATATATGAGAGAGAAAGAGAAGCAATGAATTTTTTATTTATTTACAAAATGTTAATCTTGTTTGTTGTTTGTCCGTACCTGTACCTGCTTTGGGTTTTCCTATCAGAGCAAACCCACTTTTTTTTTTTTTTTTTTTTTTAACCTGAGGTTCATACCTTTTATATGTTGCAAATTCATTATATATATATATATATATATATATATATATATATATATATATATATATGAGAGAGAAAGAGAAGCAATGAATTTTTTTTATTTATTTACAAATGTTAATCTTGTTTGTTGTTTGTCCGTACCTGCTTTTTTTCCTATCAGAGCAAACCCACTTTTTTTTTTTTTTTTTTTTTTTTTTTAACCTGAGGTTCATACCTTTTATATGTTGCAAATTCATTATATATATATATATATATATATATATATATATATATATATATAGAAAGAAAGAAGCAATGAATTTTTTTTTTTATTTATTTACAAATGTTAATCTTGTTTTGTTGTTTGTCCATGAGCAAACTTTTTTTTTTTTTTTTTTTTTTTAACCTGAGGTTCTTTTTATATGTTTTTCCTATATATATATATATATATGAGAGAAACCCATTTTTTTTTTTGTTTTTTTTTAACCTGAGGTTTTTCCTATACAAACCCTTTTTTTTTCCTATTTTTTTTTTTTTTAATTTCATTTTTATATATATATATATATATATATATATATATATAAATAAAATCTCATATAAACCTTTTGACCTAGTTTCCAAAATATTCTCTTGGTTAATCATTATTGAAAATTAGATAGATGAGTGGGGACAATGTCTATTTTTATTCAATGTACTTATACATCAGATAAGCTAATCTATTTGGAACTTGCAGCATGATAGACTGTTTATTCTTGAGATGATTTTGTGATAGATTCCAGCTCCTTATCTTTTTGATCAAATCAATAAAGCAAATAAAACTTACTAAAAAGTTACTTTTGCTTCTATGCTTCCCACAGATTATATTTAAAAGCAGTTAAAACTCTTCAGATGGAAGAAGGATCCACTTTACATATTTACTTAATGATTTTCAAACTCTACAAACAAGAAAATAGTGATTCGTGATATATATGTACAGTGAATATAGACTAAACATTGGAAATATCCAAACACAGCTACTGTCTTGGAATTTAAAGCACAGTTACTACTTCAAATATTTTTCATTTGAGTCCACCCTTCACATCTACAAATCTATCATCCGTCCATGTTTAGAATACTGTTGCCATATATGGTCTGGTGCCCTTGCTGTTCATCTCTAAGTTCTCAACAAAATCCAAAGACAGATATACAATGTGATTGGTTCTGACTTGGGGTCTCTACTCCAGTCACTTTCTCACCAACATAATGTGGCTTCCCTCTGTCTTTTCTATAAATATTTTCATGGCATCTACCCTGACAAGCTATATTCACTGGTGCCCTGATTGCATGAATTTAAGTGTACTACTAGGCTGAAATGTTGGTTCCACCCTTTTACTGTCAAAACAGTTAAATGTAACCACTTCTTTTACTCCAATAGCTTCTTCTACGACACTTCCCTAAAGTAGAACTTCCTTCCTCTTACTTGCTTCCCTGATAATTATAATCTTCAAAAATTTAAATGTAATGTCAATTGACATCATCTGTTGCCTTGATTCCTGTTCTTCTTTTTCTCCTCCTCCATTCTTCTTTTTTCATCCTGGGTAAGGCGTTAAACTATGACCAGCAGCAAAGCCTCTGACCAGGAGGTTTTGAGAATTGTAGAACCACCTCTTAATTGCTGGTGTCCCCAGGTCCACCTTGACCCGGGGTGGTAGCACCTGTTAGGGTCCCAGCTATGGGCAAATAGTTAATTATTACCAGCAATACTTTTTTGAAAAAAATTATTACCAGCAATACAATTTTGAAGGAAATATATTACCAGAAACAGATTTTTGACAAAACAAAATATTACCAGCAACAAAAAGTTTTTGTTAGTATTAAATAACTCATTGAGGTTGATATGCCATAAAAAATAAACTCAACCAAAGAATACATATTCTATTCATATGAATCTACCCTAAAAATGTTGTTGGCATTAAATAACCCATTGAGGTTGATATGCCATAAAACAAAATAAACCAAACCAATCTAAACCAAAGAATACATATTCTATTCATACGAATCTATCCTAAAAATGTTGTTGTCATTAAATAACCCATTGAGGTATAAATAAACCAAACCAGTCTTCATTTTATCCTTTCCTCACCCCCTTGCTATACCCAGTCTTTTCCCTTACTTACACACTCTGTAGCCCCTTGCTTACTAGTGGCACTCCTGCCTTGCTTGGAATGAAATACTTAAAAAATGAAATTATTGTTAACCTTAGTTTATCTCACAAATATCTAGCCTTTGAAATCTTTATACTTTACACCTGCATCTCTGTTTTCTACCCTTTCAATCCATCTCACAAACATGGTGTCTTCTTTGCTATCCACTTCTCTCTCTCACGAGTTGTCTTTTCTGTGTATCTTTTTCTCTTGTAATATATCTTTCTTGTTATTTGCTTCTCTCTCTCACGAGGTGCCTCTGCCGACATCCCCTTCTCTCTCTCACGAGGTGCCTCTGCCAACATCCCCTTCTCTCTCAGGAGGTGTCTCTGCCTCCACCCCCTTCTCTCTCTCAGGAGGTTCCTCTGCCACCATCTCCTTCTCTCTCTCACAAGGTGCCTCTGCTGACATCCCCTTCTCTCTCTCAGGAGGTGCCTCTGCCACCATCCCTTTCTCTCTCTTACAAGGTGCCTCTGCCGACATCCCCTTCTCTCTCAGGAGGTGCCTCTGCCAACATCCCCTTCTCTCTCTCAGGAGGTGCCTCTGCCAACATCCCCTTCTCTCTCTCACAAGGTGCCTCTGCTGACATCCCCTTCTCTCTCTCACAAGGTGCCTCTGCTGACATCCCCTTCTCTCTCAGGAGGTGCCTCTGCCGCTATCCACTTCTCTCTCTCAGGAGGTGCCCCTGCCGCTATCCCCTTCTCTCTCTCAATAGCTGCCATACCCTTTTCTCTTATAAGTTGTCATTCCTTTAATCTTCTCTCTCGCAAGGTGTCTATCTTTTCACCTACCTTCTCTTTCATAACACATCATTTAATCCCTTTCCTTTTGATTTCATGCCCCCACTTCTTCACTTGATGAACCATCTTGGCTTTAACTCTACATTTCTCTCTTGAGACATCTCACATTGGGCTTCCCTACACTCTCACATCGGGCTTCCCTACACTCTCACATCTAAAATCTTCTTTCATAAAATATCTTGTCATTTTTTTTTTTTTTTCCCCATTTTGGCTAGTGAATATTTATTGGTTCCAAATTAGAAGATTAAATGAAATGACAGTCTGGAAATATAAAAACTGCCATTTAAAATGTTGCAAATTCCTCAGTAGAGCAATGGCATTGACACTGTCATTATCCATTGTCTTCAAATTTCTACAACTGACATTTTGTTCATGTTTATCATAGCCGAGTTTTCTCTCCATCTGACAGGGTCACTCTATTGATCAACAATAGAGACCACATAAAATATTGCAATTTTTTAATAGTATTTTACATTATGGACTTAAAACTGCTTATAGTATTTTTCTGAGTAACGTTGTGAGATTAAAACTAATGACTTTTTTCAGAATGATTGAAAATTAATTTTGAACGTAAAGGTTATGCTATTAAATATAAGGGAAACTTAATTTTGAAAAGCAAAAAAAATAACCAAATCTAAAAGATGTTTTTATTAGGAATGGTTGTGCGTACTGAGGAAAAGCATAATATACAACCAATATTTTACGTGTGTCAAGCATAGGAAGCCTACAGGCTGAACCCAGTCCCACAAGTGTGCTTAGATCAATCGATGATATAATTTTATTAAAAACAAATGTAAATTATTTAATGATTTTAAAATATTCAGGTAAATATATATTTATACTCATAGTCATTACAAAGCAATTTATTATTAACTGTTAAGCTAATTATCAACTCTCATTGGTTCTCTGTCCTTCATTCCAGGGACAAAATATATTAATGCTATTGAATATTGCTTTCAAGAACTCTATGCATACATGTGAACAATTCTTTTCTACACTCTCACTCTAAGAACAGTATATGTAACTTGTGGATGAGTTTTTCCAACACATCAATGCATAACCATTTTGCTAGTACATCATAATCTTTAATTACTTTATTGGTATAATCAATATTAACCACCTTTGTTCACCAACTTTGGCCTACACTATAGGAATAAGATGTTAAATAATTTTAATATAATTCTCTGTATTGAACATAAAAATCATAATAACTAAAAAAAATATGAAATAATAAAAAGCATCTATCATTCCATTTTCTATATATATATATATATATATATATAGACCTGATGAAGACTGGAGGGCACAGCAGCTAAAATGTTGTGATAAAAACAACAAAGATGAGGAAATTAGTTTAAATGTAATAGGGTAAATAATAACTTCTTATCCAAAAAAATTCAGAGATTACTCAAGGGAAGTAACTCTATTCACCTTAACGTTGGAGTTTTAGAAATAATTGTCCCTTTTATCCAGTCCATTGAAGTTTATACTTCAATTTGGCCTGCAAAGCTAAGGAAGTTTAGTATCTGTGTCATATTTCATGAAAACAAATTCCAAAATGTGTTTCTGAATATGGAATATATCTGAACAAACCTTAGACACTTTTCTGAGGTTGATGTAAATAATCATTGAAATATCACAGATCTGTGCCTGAAAAATCTTACTATCTCACCAATGTGCAGGGTTTGGCAAGGCTGTATTTGCCCACGTAGCTAGTCTCCTTTCCATTGGAAGGCAAGAGCCAGTCGGTCTTGACCACCAGTGTTATTGCAGAATGAGGTTGAAGACATTATTATATAATTGACTCGGGGAAAATGCTTTCAGGGTAAATTCTGAGGACAACGTTGGTGCTAGAAACATTTAAGTTGAGATATATAGAACAATTTGAATATAAGTAGGTTAATGGGGGTGTTATTAAAGAAAGAATTTTCCCAGTTTGCATTTCTCCATTAAAGGCATTTTTACATGAACAGAATAGCATATCTGAAAGAAAGGAATGACAAACTAACATACTTCAGGTTTTATACCAATATATATATATATATATCACTAATTTGTCCCCTCACAGAGAAACATATGTATGCAATTGCGAAAGGGTGAAAGGGACAAAAAGGTAGAGGGTCTTACTGGTAATATTTGCCAATGGTTGGTGGTTTGTTTTTGTTTTGTTTTACAGCATATCAACCTCAATGGATTATTTAATGCCGACAAAATTTTTATTGTTGGTAACATTTTTAAAAAAAATCTATTTCTGGTAACATCTTCTCCTTCAAAAAATCTAAAAAACATCTTCTCCTTCAAAAAAATCTATTTCTGGTAACATCTTCTCCTTCAAAAAAATCTATTTCTGGTAACATCTTCTCCTTCAAAAAAATCTATTTCTGGTAACATCTTCTCCTTCAAAAAAATCTATTTCTGGTAACATCTTCTCCTTCAAAAAAATCTATTTCTTAACATCTTCTCCTTCAAAAATCTATTTCTGGTAACATCTTCTCCTTCAAAAAATTTCTGGTAACATCTATTTCTGGTAACATCTTCTCCTTCAAAAAAATCTATTTCTAACATTTCTCCTTCAAAAAATCTATTTCTGGTAACATCTTCTCCTTCAAAAAATCTATTTCTGGTAACATCTTCAAAAAATCTATTTCTAACATCTTCTCCTTCAAAAAAATCTATTTCTGGTAACATCTTCTCCTTCAAAAAATTTCTATTTCTCTATTTCTGGTAACATCTTCTCCTTCAAAAAAATTTCTAACATTTCTGGTAAAAAAATCATCTTCTCTTCAAAAAAATCTTCTGGTAACAAAAAAAAAATCTATTTCTGGTAACATAAAAAAATCTATTTCTTTTTCCTTCAAAAAAATATTTCTGTAACATCTTCTCCTTCAAAAAAATCTATTTCTGGTAATCTTCTCCTTCAAAAAAATCTTTTCTGGTAAATTTTTTTTTCATATATAAATATATATATGTTTTTTTGTTACAAAGTCTTTTCTGGTATTAAAACAATTTTTTACACTTTCATAGTGTTTTGACCCCAGTTTAGGGGCTAACTATCTACCCATAATTAGGACCCTATCAGGTGCTACCACCACGGGTCAGGGTGGACTTGGAAACACCAGCAGTTAAGAGGTGGTTCCACACTCCTCAAAACCTCCTGATCAGAGGCTTTGCTGTTGGACGTAGTTTATCGTCTTACCCAGGACACAGATGTATTTTATCGTCATACCCAGCACAAAATGGTTGGTGGTGTCTTTTATGTTTCTTGTAAGACTATGTGGGTTCCTCAGTTCACACTTCTGCTGTGGGTTTGAAATGTCCTTCTTCTCTGTAGGCTACTTAGTAACTGGTGTGGGTTAATACATTTTGTGTCCAGCCAGAATAAACAGCAACTACCTTTTGCTACTCTATGAAATGACATCACTCAGCAGCCATTAAATAACTGTCATCACAAAGGGAGATAATTATATTTTGCATCCCTAAAATGTTATATTTTTTTACATGAAGAAACTTGAATTTTAACTTTGATGGGCTTTTTTTTCACAAAGTAACTTTTATTGAAGAAAATTATATTTCTGCAGATAGTTGAATTATTTTCTCCTGATTTTCTTTGACATTTCTGTGGTTATAGGGGAACCAATATTAACCTCTCATTACAGCCATAAAACTCTTGTCACAACTATTTTTCTTCAGTATTTTTCTCTACATCTCTAATTCCCAATTCTGTGTATGCTATTTACTCTTACACAATGATCAGCATACACAAAAAAACTGATCTTAAATACTGCAGAGAAGAAGAATTGTTTTTCATGCAAGATTTTTTTCCCCCTGCATGCATCAGTGTCCATTTTTCAGCTGCATTAACAAGGTAGTTTACACGCTTGTATTAATCACCAATACTGTTGGAAACAAATCCAGACCCTGCAATCAGACAATACCAGATCTGACATGATATTTATTGTAAGAAAACGAAAAGTTATTTAGTTTTTTGTAACTAATTCTCAGAGCCAAAAGAAATGTTCTGTCGACAATATCAGTCCGCTGAAAATTTGATACAATGAAGTATCTTGAAAAATATCGAAGGAAATTAATGACAAATTTTTATTTGCCCTTTTCTTTTATTTTTTATTGTTTTCACGTCATTTGTACTGTTTTCTTCACTGAGTTAAATATATTTTTTTTATTATTGGCCCTGAACAATAGTCAATCAAAATAAGTCTCTGGTTATTTTGTTTTTCATTTCTCTTCATTCGCAGTCTTCATTCTTTCTTTGTCATTCTAAAAACTAATCATTGTTCTCAGGGAGAACTCAGTTAAATTAAGGAATATTCCAGAGAACAAGAGATGGCATCAAAAACCAGAAACTGCAAAACACAAATAGAAGAATGTGAATGTGTTTTTTTTTTTTCTTTCAACATGTTTAATTTGTAACATTATATACAGAAGTTTTGCATTGAAAACACAATATTGGACTGATTGTAGCCTGATATATAAATATACTATAACAATTTCAATGTTTGTGTGTGTATGAGTGCACAGATAAGAAGCTCTTCAAAAGCTTGTTAAATTGGAACAGAATTCATAACCCAAACACAGGACTTTTATCATTTGTAAGCTAAAGGAACTAATTTCAAAGAAGGCCTTAGAAATCTGGTGTTCATCATATTACCTGGTTTCTAAGGTAACCTTTGAAAGTTGAATTTTCTTATGTTCAAAGTTTGAGAGAGTATTTTTATATAAAAACAATGAATAAATAGATTTTATATATATTGTCGTCGTCCTATTTCTGATAATGAGTACCATTTAAAAAAAAAAAAAAATGAGTTAATAAAACAAACACATCTCCCATCTCACTTGTAGCCATCCATTACTATAAAATAAACTTTTTACAGCACCACAGTTAAAGCTTCATAAGTCTCTGCTTAGACTTGTTACTATATTACAAGTTCTAATCAGTA